CTGTCTGTGGGGCAAGACACTTGCAATCTTGGCCAAAGCCTCTGACCAGGTGTTCCTCCTCAGCTTCCCTAGAAGTGTGCCTGGCCTGCCCACAGTCAGGGAGGTCTTGCAGGTCCCCTTGTGCTAGGATGGTTCTCTGGGCAAACTTTGCCTAAACATGCACATGTAATCAGTTACGCATGGTGAAATGAAATGAGATTGGGGGGCAGAGAAAGTCTATGGTTGTGCTATTGTAAGTAAGACAGGGTGATGTTAATAGGTCACAACTTCTCTGTTAATTAACAGACTATAGCGATCATGAGAAAATATAATAAGAAAGACAGTCCCTCTGCTAACACGGGAAATCATTCCTGAGAGGAATGTTTCCTGAATTTGTCCTTCCTTAAATGAATCCTGCTCCATGGACTCCTTCCTTTTTTATTCTTCAAACCATTAAGAACCACATCTGTGGAATTCTGTATCAGCTCGCTGGCAGCCAGCTGTTGCTGAAAGTCTTTCACTTAACTTGAAATTAAGAACAGATTTGAGGGCCCTCTACCTGCTGGGAAGTCCTGAGGTCTTTACCAGAAACTGCACATGGTAGCGAAACGTGACTGTGACCCCTTGAATCGTTGCTGTGTTTTCTACAATGCCCTCGCCACAACAGTGCATCTGCACTAACTCTATTACTGATGTCATAAATGACACCTTGGCCATTGACCAAATCGTACACATGACAATCAGTAAAAGAATATCTGTGTTGGACTAGTGTCCCGGGTCACCACAGAGCGTGCCTCTGAGCAGACGACGAGCAGATTGGGAAGAATGCGGATTCCTTGGAAAATGGGGGGCGGTGGGGAGGAAGATGTCTGTACCACGTGTATGGGTACGTATTACAGAGAATCTTGGAGAGGTGCTTTGCCGATTATTAAACTATCTGAAAACTCAGGTATGGCTTCGTGTTGAAAGCACCTTCAGACTTGAATACCTGGAAAAGGCGAGGAAACCTTCATACAAGTCTTGCAACACCACGCAGGTCTCCACCAGGACTAACGAAGCCTAAAGCACAGCCAGTCCAGGGCGCCTGGGCCCGGCAGCTGGGTAAGAGTGGTCTCATGCTTTCTGCTCAGGCCCTGATTTGGGGGATTTGGGATCCAGCTTCATGTTCAGCAAGGAGTAGGCTGGAGATTCTCTTTTTCTGGCCACGCCCCCATCCAAAGAAATAAACTAAAACAAAACAAGACACTGCCAGTTTGACTCCAAATTATCCAGAATGTAAAAGACCGAAGAAGAGAAAGCAACTTAGTGAGAAGTTATGATAAATATGGGAGAATCTGTGTATATAGATCAATTAGAGAGGTGTGTGCATGTGTTTATAGGAAATGCCTATTATCTAATTCATTCCTAGAGTTCATTACCTTCAAGGGAATAAACCTAAAAAAACCAAACTAAGATAGTTTCCTATAAACCAAGAATAAGACCTTCTGTTAGTTACCTCCAGATTCAAGATGTTTGAAACCATTTTGTAGAAGACTATTTAAAATAAAATCACAACTTTGTGCCCCTTCTACGCAGGGGATTGCCATATGTTAAATTCCCCCTCTTCCATAATCTAAAGATGGTGTATTCTCCCAGTTTTCAAGTTCTGTAAAAATATATATATATATATATTTATATATAAAATTATATATTTATATATTTTAAGGGATAAAAGATCAAGTTAGGATTGGGCTGATATTTATGAAACCATCAGTGATTAAACAAAGAGCCAATTTCCATTTATAAATGAAATTGTTACCTACTCCACACAATATAAAGTTGGTCAGCAGCTGTACTACTCTTATAATGGTCTGTACCTTGGAATATTGTTGACAATTCAATTAAATTTACCCCTACTCCACGCTTACCTCTGTAAATTTAAGTTGGTTCAAAGAGTGAGAATTTAGCGTAGGTGCACACTGTCATTCTCCTTTCTCAGACATAATTTAGAATATAGGGTATAAATTTGCACGGAGATAGAACTAACATTAAATATTTACTAATAAGCAGTGCACTTAAATTTTTGAGCATGCATATTTAATAAATATTTTTTAGTTTGTCTTGAATTTCATATCACAGTTTTGAGAGTTTTAGCTCCAGCTTTCAGATAGACCAGGCCTTTTCTGGGGTTTCTTTTTTTATGTTTGTTTCTTACTCTTAGCTATTCTGTAATGAAACCCCTCCAGAAACCTTTCTGATCTATACGTTCACCAACCATGTTGCCTTCTAAGCTACGCAGACAAGCCATTGAACGCTGTTTCATTAAAAAGCCATGTTCCTTAGCTTGAAGGAGCCGAGTCCCAAATGCTGAACAAATAATTCATTACACAATCACAAGAGAAAATGTGTTTTCTTCTCCATCTATTTCATTAACCAGAATTATCATGTTATAAAATTGTAAATAGCCAAGTATATATCCAACTGTTATTCTATTAATATCACTAACTGTTCTCCACCCAAATATTGTAATTAAACATTTCAAACGAGGTGAAGCTCTTTTGAGGGATTTCAGGGATTTGTATTTTGTGCTGAAACAGTGTCCTTAATCTTTTATGGCTACTTTAAATATTTGAAGATATTATTAAACACTTGAAATTTTAGCAATGCTAAATATGTTGTAGGAGTTATGGGAACTCTCGCTAAATATTTTATTTTTGTACTTTTTTTTTTTTTTTTTTGCCCCTGGAATAAGCTAATAGTGATTGACAAACAAACAACCATCAGTGACTTGGTGTACAAATGATGTAAACACATCTTGCCTGCCACAAATGCCACCCTCACCAGCAACAAAACCTGCTGGCCCTCAAGCTGCTGTTTTTCCAGAATGTAACCCTCAACCGTCTCTCAAATTACATTCTCAGATTCTGCAGGCACTGTAGAGAAACAGAGAAAGGAAATCTTTTAAAAGCACAGTATTATTGTAGAACCGCCCTGAGTGAAATCACATGTGGGTGATAAGCAGGCCACAGAAAGGAGGCAAGTCAAGGAAATCACAATTTTACATGGAGGGTTTGGAAGTTTTACTCACCGTTCCTTGATCTAACTTGTCAATTTTGAACACATGGAAGTTACTAGTACAACACTCTAGTCTTAAATAGACCCAAGAATGCAGATAAACATAGATTTTTAGCATTGACTCAAATCCTGTCCAAAATATGACAAAAACTACTATTACAATTCCAAGTATGCATAGTTTAATCTCTGTGGGTGCACAAACATTAATATGCCACTATTTATCTACGTCTGTATATGCCATGCCATTCATATCTGTGTCATTAGTTCAATTGGGGGCATATTTTCATTTGTGTATTTTTACCGGGTATTGTCAGGCATTTCGGGCAGTCCAATACTTTTCTGTGAATCAGACTTAAATTTGGTGAGGAATACATCCCATTTAAGCATTCATACCCAAACCTGCAACAATTGTCAACGACTTTTTACCATGCCTTGCTATCCAAATTAGTGCCGACCATTAATCCCGAGAAGCTTACATTTTAGTGCTCAAGGATCCTTCCTGCAAAGGTTCTCCGCCCTCTAGCTGCCCCCTTCCTCCACCAACACACACACACACACACACACACACACACACACACACACACACACACACACACACGTGCAGAATGGCCTCTGTGTCTGAGAGGCCAGCTCGCAGGCACAAGCTCCTCCCTTTGGAGCTCTTCCCTAGTAGTTTCTGTTGTAAATGCCCTAAGTTGGAGGGCCCGGGCTGCCTCGGCAGGGAGTGTTAGCGAGCCGGGGGCACCCGGAGAAATCGCCGGGGCGGAAGGTAGCGCGGGCCTGCAGCGCTGATGGCGAAGCCGAACTACGTCGGTGTCTTGGACAGAATCCATCTCCACTGCGGAGTTATCACGAGGAGAGCAGAACAATATGGCCAGGAGCCTGGTGGGAGAAGACAGTGCCCCCCTCCGCAGGCCAGCTCCCTCGGCCTGCGTCATCGCTGATTCAGGGGCGCGCCCCTTGTCTTTCTCCGTCCCTCCTCCTCCCCCGCCCCTCCCCCGCCCGCACCCCCTCCCCCCGCCCCGTGGACCGTGGTTGTTTCTTGGAGTCACAGTGGGATTTCTATTCCCAGACTTAACTTGCTGCCACTAACTACGGCCCCGCGGAGAGCAGCTGGGTGTGTGTGTGTGTGTGTGTGTGGGGGGGAGACATGGTTGGAAACAGAAAAATCAGAGTTGAATTTCCCAAGGATAAAAATAAAAATAAAAGCCCACAGTCCTTCTTAGATTGCCACAGAGCAGAATCCTCCTTCTGAAGTCTCTGCAGACTTTGGTCTTGAGTCGGGACTTCATCTATCGAGGATCCTCAACACATTTCACCAGGAAGTTCGGGGACACGCAGCCCCCGAGGCGGGTGGAGTGCACACGCGCCTGGGGCCACCCGAAGGATACCCACGCGGAGACGTGGACTCGCGGCTCGTGCTCAGGTGCCCGAGCCGGCCGAAGCGCATCCCAGCACGTCTGCACGTATGGATGCGTGCGAGTGTGTCCGTGTGCGCGCGCGAACAGCTTCCCGTAACTGGAGCTGCGGCAGCCGGAGCCCCGGCGAGGAAGGGGCGACCGCTGGCCGCTGGGGCCGTGATTCAGTGCTATTAGGGGAAGAATTATCTGTGTCTGAGTCATCGCGAGCCTCCAGACTTTGCCCGCAGTGTGGCAGAACTTTGTGCTGATGAGACAATAGTGGAGCGTGTGCGTTTCCTACAGGGCAGACCATTCCGTGGCTGGGGGAAGCCTCGGGCCTGCGCCCGGCCGCGGGGCCCCGGCCCCCTCCCCCCGCCGCGCAGCCCCCAGAGCCCGGACGGCGCCGGGGTCCCCGCGGGGCGGGCGCGTCCCGGGCGAGCCCGGGCGGCGCGGGGAGGGGGCCGGGCGCGTGGCGGGCCCCGCGCGCCCTCGCGCGTCCCCCGCGCCCGGGCGCAGCTGGCGCGGTCGGTCTAGTGCAGCGCTCGGCTCCGCGCCTCGGGCGCTAGGCTTCACCTTCAGAGGCGCGGGGCGTGCGCGTCCTCCTTCCCGGGCCCGCCGCCTCCCGCCAAGGTAGGGGCCGGGGAGGGTCGGGGGGGGCGCCGCGGGGCCCGCAGGGGGCGCGGGCGCGGGGCCCCTGGCCTGGCAGTGCGGAAGGGGGTCCCCGGGGTGCGCCGCGGGGCGGGGGGCGGGGAGGGGCCCCGGGGCGCCGGGAGGGCGGCTCGGCTGCCCTGTGGGTAGTTGCTCGGCTCGGCAATTCCAGGAGAGGGAAGATGCAACTTCGGGCGGCGAGGCGAGCGCCGGGAGGTGGTTTTTACCGCAGTGGAGGGGCGGGGTGGGGGCCGGGTGGGAGCGCGGAAGAGGCTCAGGCTTTGTACACTTCGTCAAAGGCGACGCGGGAGGAGGGGAGCTCGGATGCGCTCTTCATCCATTAGGAGACAAAGAGCAAATTGCCTTACTTTAAAGTAAAACGCTCCAGCTAATGAAGGTGGGTGATGGGGCTGCGGGCCCCGAGGAGCCGCTTCAATTATTAAGGGTTTGGCTGATGGGATCGATGCCCGCGGGCACGGAGCGCTGCTGCCCCGGGTACGTGTCGGCGTGTGTGTGTGTGTGTGTGTGTGTGTGGTGGGGGGGTGTTGGGCCTCCCCCTCCCCTGGCCGCATGCCCATTAGCTGGGAGCGTCTAAGTGACCCTAACATTACAGAAGTGAGTGCGCCCGGGAGGGAAGTTAGGGCCGGGTGGGGGCAGGGGGCGATGGTCCCCTCTGTGACGGGGAGGGGTGGGGAGAGGGGTCGGGGTGGCAGGGACTCCTCGCAGACGCACGCAGCCTGGCGGGGGTCGGAGTGGGGTTGGGGGGGGGAGGGCTCCATCGCGGTACACACCCGGGTGTCTACGAGAAAGGAAGAATGCTGTGGGGCGTGTGTGATGGGGAGGGGGGTTGGAAATGCGCCTCGTCTGCCATTTCCAGGGAGAACTAACAGACGGAATAGTTACCATCAGTATTTAGAATAAACCGCCTCGTCAAGTTTTAAAGAAACTTTGTATGAATAAGTTTGTTAAACGCCAGCCGAGTTGGGTATTCAAAACAGTGGTTTATGCTGGAGGTTGGTGTGCGGTGACAATCGGTGGTGGTGGGCAGGGAAGCCAGTGGAGGCTTGCCATTAGGGACCAGGGAGACCCAGCCTTTTACCCGAAAATGTGGGTCTGTAAGTCAGCCTCATTTATTATCCGCCTTAATAAGCTCCCCGCAGCAGACCGGGATCAGACCAGGAGCTTCAGGGGTTTATGTGTCTGCATCTTACTCATGCTGCTGGCTGACTGATAAAGAATTACTTGGTCTCCGGGTGTGCAAAGATCAACTCGCTCAGCCCTCTTTTTAAATATATTCATTCTGTGCCTCATTTAATCCAGATGCACAAAAAGCCATTTGCTGCTTCATTGTTGGTTTACATTTTTTGAAAAGGCGACTGGTGTAACCTGTGGAATTTGAAATGCAAATAGAAGCCTGTGGGAGTTGAGGCAGAACAAATCAGCATTTATAAAGTGAAAAAGATTTAATGTCTTTGAAATCATTGCAGAGGAAAAAAACTGGAGGGGGGTGATTTTTCAGGGAGTGAATTGTGACGTCAGGTCTTTTTGGAAAAGATGTTATTTTTAAGGTCTGAATCCCGGGTATGTAAAGTGCTTACAGGAAAAACAGATTACAAGATTAACATCTGTTAACATGATCGTTTATCTCCAGCCAAAAATAGGTCAGTTCTTTCTTAAGGAAACACAATTGCTGGCGCATGCTTAAATAAAAAAAATTAAAATCATGAGTTCATAAATGAGGACCAGCGTTTGTTATAATCTGATCCGTGAAAAACATTTTTTAATTTCGAGATCAATAAAGGTCAAAGTCTTTTTTGGGCGTTGAGAACAACTCTTCCCACTGCGTCCACCCCTCCGGATGACCCCCTCCTCCTCACCCCTCGCTCCCTCTCCGCCCCCACCAGGGATTGCTAATTTCCCTTTTCATCCATTGTGGAAGTACAAAATATATTTAAATGGATATTGTCTGACGCCCCCGTCGTTAAAGAAAGCAAACTCTCCGCGCAGATGGCTAACTTTCAGGGCTCTGCTGTTGTTTTACCATTAAATGAAACAGTAGGGAGGGAAGGAGGAAAAAAAAAAAAAAAAAAAGGAAACAGCCTCGCAAAGTCTCCCTGCCCCTGGGCGTGAGTGACGGCTCTGCCGGCCAATCCGCAGCGGCTTTCTCCATCCCGGAGGTAATTTGGAGCGTGAGTGTGCGCGCGCGCGTGCACGCGCCCATGTGTGTGCACACTGTTGAGTGCGACCAGCCCCGCGCATCCGCGGGGTTCCTGATGTGCCCAGCTCTGCGCCCCAGACGCGGGCAAGCTGTTCCCTGCGTCTGGGCAGCTAGAGGGGTGCTCGGCAGTCCCCATGGAGACCCTGCCTCCCCCGAGTGTTCTCCTGCAAAGATTGGGCGCTTAGAGGTGCTTTCGGATTCAAGTCGAAACCTGCAGAAGGGGAAGAAAAGAGGAGTGATATGATTATGCTTCTCAGCAGCCGGGGAATCGAAACGTGCTGTTCCCTCCGTGTCTTTCCCACGCGGCAGGCGCGCCCTCTCGCGCGTGGGGTCCGGGTGGCGGGGAGCCCACCCGCCAGGCGCACAGCGTACAAGGAACGGGGACTGCTGAAATCGGCGTGAATTCCGCAGAAAAGTGAAGGACAGCACGAACCTTACAACTTCGTATTTTATTGTCTCGCCGAAAGTTCATACTTAGTCCATGGCAAATTCTAGAATGTGAGCCGCTCCGGGTCAGTGGAAGTTCTGGGCCGCCCGAGCCCGGAGTGCGGAGCGCCCGCCTGGTGTCCGCGCACAATGGGCGCATTCAGGGGCGGAGGCGTCACGGGCCGCCCCGCGGCGCGCCCCGGCCTCCTCCGGCACCCGCTTCCCCGGGAGTCCCGGTAGAGCTGTGTGGACGCGCAGGGGCCAGACCTGGTCCCCGAGCATCTCCCTTGCGGTGTCCTAGATGCCGGGATGGCTGCTGCCGCCGCCCCGGACGGGTTAAGAACCCACGTGTGACGGCCCCTTCCCCGCAGAACCCTCGGGGAGACCCCTGGGAGGGACGCCGCGCCCCGCCCTAGTCCGCGCACCGTGTGTCCGGCCGCCCCGGGGTCACGCCGAGGGTCCGTGGGCGACCCCCGTCGTACCCCTGCGAGACCTCGCTCAGGGACGAAGTAGCGCCCGAACCCGATCGCCCGGCTCCGGCCGCGTCGGCCCCCAGCCCGGGGTTCGACCGGGTTCTGCGCCCCCGCCCCCACCTCCGAGGACTCGCGGACTGAGGGACGGGCAGCAGGGGGGCGTCGCGGAGTCCATCATTCCTAGTTCTGCGTCTCGGAGCGAGCGGCGCGGGGCCCCGGGCGCCGCTGGGGGGCGGGGCGGGGCGGGGGCGGGGATTTACCTGCCCGCCCGGGCGGGGCGGGCGGGGCCGCGTGTCGCCGGGCTGCCGGGGGGCGGGCCGTGGGCGGGGCGGGCAGGGCCGGCGGTGGGGGAGGGCCCGGCCCGCGCCCCGCCCCCGCCCCCCGGCGCCCGCCCCCCGCCCCCGTCATGTGGAGCGGACGTCACTCGCCTGCACTGTAACCCAAGAAGTGAAAGAGACGGGGACCCACGGCCCAACTTCGCACCGTAACAAAGGCGGGGGTCCGTGCGGGCCGGGGGGACTGGCTGGGGAGGGGGCGGGCGGGGGGGGGGACCTGGCCGGGGCGGGGGGGGGGTCTGCGCGGGGCGGGGGCGGGAGGGGGGCCTGGCCTGGGCGGGGGTCTGCGCGGGGCGGGGGCGGGGAGGGGGGCGTCTGGCCCGGGTGTGTGTGTGTGTGTGTGTGTGTGTGTGTGTGTGTGTGTTGGGGGGCCTGGGGGGGTCTGGCCGGGGCGTGGGTCTGCGCGGGGCGTGGGGGGGCGTCTCCGCGGGGCGGGGGCTCCGGCGGGGCGGGGGGCGGCGGGGCGGGGGCCGGGGGGCGGGGGCTCGGGCGCGGGCCGCGCTCCGGGGGCCGAGGCGCGGCGGCGGCCAGGTAATTGGTTTCTATTTTAAACTTCACTTTGTTCTGGCGGAGGTGGGGCGGTGGGAAAGGCGTGGCCCACGAGGACGATTACATAAGTACTCACACCTGATCCGGCCCCGGCCCGGCACCGCGCGGCGGCGGGTGGGTGGCGCTGGGCGCCCCGGGCGGTCCCCGCGAGGGGCTGCCGCGCGTGGGTGTGGCGCCCTGCCTGCGTGGCCTCTTTCCGTGCCGGCGGCTAGCGGCCCGCGTGGACGCGGGGGGCCGGTCCTGGGAGCCCAGAGGTGCCCGAGGGCGTGCGGCCCGGCCTGCCGGCGGGGTCCGCCACGCAACAAAGGGCGGGGGCAGCGGGACCCGAGGCAAGCCACAAAAGGCACTTTAGACGTGGTCTTAATTAAACATCTGCCTCGGAAACGCATTTGCCTCCTGAACCTGCCGTGGAGCGTGCAGTCCTGGTTACAGATGATTTAAAAACCGGTGGCCCTCGGTCCTGTGCCCGAGCACCGGGATGCCTTGGGAGTACTCACCCGAGAGGAAGCGAGGCTGGATGTTCCCCCAGCAGGATCCTCTCCAGATTATTTTTTAAGCCTCCCTATTAATATGATTGGAGTATTTTGGTTTAGGAATGTAAGTGCTACTTTAAGGGACTAGGCATGCCTGCTATTTGATAGGATACTTTCTGCTGCCGCGTAAAAAAGCTCACTTTATCGTTTGTTTGTTCCTCCTTCAATTTCCCTTACATTCTTCGATTGTGGCGTCAAAATAGCTGTGCTATTTATGTTGACACAGACCCGCTAGAATTGAATATACCGCATGCCTCTGCTGTGCATGATTGGGAGCTTGCTTCCCCCTCTTGGTGAAATTGGGGAGCCAGTGGAGCTCGCTGGCCTGCATCCTGGGTCTGCGAGCTGGTTATCCGAGCAGGACGTCTTTGGTTTCAGCGGGCTCCCAAGCCATCTTGGACGGGCCCAGCGAGCTGCAGCCCTGAGCAAGCCTCAAAGACTTTGCTCA